CCTTCTCAGATTTCCAGGGTTGCTATCTAGTCCCCTAAAGGGGTAAACGTCATCTCAGGGACTAAGCATGAGCATCCAGATCAGGGAAGCTGGAGGCAGACCCAGGAGCCCAGAGATACCCACATGGCAAACTTACGCAGCATAGTTTTGCCTCACTGCAGCATGTGTTAGTGTGTGTCTGTGTGTGTCCCCACATGTGTGCATGTGTGCCCACCCACGTGCCACAGCATGCATGCAGATACTTGTGGGAGTTGTTAATCTCCTTCCATCATGGAGGTGCTGGGGACGGAACCCTGGACAGTAGGCTTGAGGACAAGGACATTCGCCAGCTGAGTCATCTCACTAACTTAGGTAAAAACGATGACCACGACCCAACCCATGAAGCTCCAAGGGTGACAAGAGACCCAGGTAGAATTGCACCTGGGGTCCTCCACTTCCAAATGTCTGACATTTTCTGTGAATGTCTCTAGGGGATGGACTGTGAGGACTTCAAGGCTGTTTCAGAGCTGTAGCTTAAGCAAGGCCAGAGAGTGCCTTTGCCAGTCAAGGCCCCATGCCCACTCCTGAGTCTCGGCATGACCTCTTGGTTGAAAGTCTTATTTCCAAGTATGAGTTGGCTTTCTAGTTCCCTCTTCCAAAGGTTTTCCTTATCTTCACAGGGCCACACTGGTGGGAACTTACTTGCATAAATCCCTCCAGGTTTGCCTCCAGGTTCAGATGGTGCTGCCCCTAGACCACAGCTGCAGCTGGGAAAGTACCAAGAGTACAGCCCAGATCACTGGAAAAACCATGTGGACACCCTTGAGTGTTGGGCCCCGGGGACTGCTTGAGTAGCAAACCAAGGTTATCATAGCAGAGAAAAAGGCCCAGGGTCCTCTCTGCCAAAGCACCTGCTTCCCGAAGTGAGACTGAGCCTCAAGGAGACATGATGTCATTGGTTTTTATCACATCTCAGTGAGGCGGCCTTCCTGGGGAGGACATGGAAAACTAAGGCCCTGAAGCTTAATTGGGAAAATAAACAGCATCTCCAGACATGTGGGTCAGATCCCCGTGTTCCAGAAAGAAAGCTACCCTGTCTGAGTTGCCCAGGCCATGCTGCCAGCAAGGACCACAACAGCCTTAGCGAGTTCTTTCCATGGAATTTTCTGTAAAATAAAAGTGCAGAATTTCTTTAAGGCCCCATCTAAATGAGAGCTGTTGTGGCTGGTGAGAAATAAAATACTTAATTGCTAAGTAAAACAGACTAAAAATTCCTTTACTCTCAAGGAAAACAGCAAAATTACACATATAAATAAATAAAATATTTATTATTGTTGTGTAGTATGAACTCACATGACGTGTGTGTCTGTACACGCGCATTTGTGCAACATCTCGTGTCTGGAGGTGAGAGGACATTTGTGGATCAGTCCCCTCCTTTATGCTACATCTCTAGGCTTACACAGCAGGCTCCTTTATCTGCAGAGCCGTCTTGCCAGCCCTACACGATTGTTCACGCGTATTCAACAGTTGAAATGATTGTCCTACCTTGCCCTTTAACTTAAAGATTGTGAGCTAGTATGGAGGCATATGCTTGCAATCCTAACCCGAGCAACAAGGTAAGGCTCCATCTTGAAAAACAAATGAGCAGATAAATTTTGGTTGATAACTGTTCTGTTTTCTGTCCTTTACACAGATAGATGTGATCATCTTGATTTTAAGTGAGGGCATGTTTATTTTGCCTATTTCAAGATGTATTAGCAAAATACACACAATGTTAAGCATTAAATAGTGTCAAAGGTTCTGATGAGATGGCACAATGATAGCTCCGTGGGTGACGTGGTTTGCACCAGGCCCGATGACCTGAGTTCAACCCCTGTAGCCCACATGGTGGAAGGAGAGAACACACTCCCACCAATTGTCTCTGATCACATATGCTGCGGCAATGCACATATGTGCAGATGCAAGGGCTCATGCATGCACTCGCGTGTGCGCACGCGCGCGCATACACACACACACACACACACTAAATAAATAAATGTAGAAAGATTTTTAAATTAATACCAAAGATGCATAATGAAAGGTTGTGTTTTCTCTTGTACCCCAATGATCTCCCAATGTCCCCCAGAGAAATCACTCTTTTGGTGGGGGCAGCATAGAGGAAGGCATTGATACACAGTGGCCTTCCCGACAAAACTAAGGTGTTTGGGGATAAGGAATTTGCTCCCTCTGTTCTACAGACATGATAAAGATGTCCCTGCATCTTAGCTTCTCTGATTTTAAACTGCAGAATACGACCTTGGGCAAAAGAGAACAGATCCATGGGTGCACAGAAACTACATTCTACACAGGATACACACTTGGTCACTGCTGCCCTGGTAGAGACATAGACCTACCAGTATCTCAGAAGTCCCTTTCATTTGCCTCAAAGGTGACTGCTGTCAACACTGTCACCATAGGTGGGTGCTGTCTTTTCCCACATAATCGTTATGTTCTACTGCCAGCGTTCCTGTGAGATTGGCGCCTGTGTTTATGGATGGATAGCTGCAATTATTGAAGTGTCTGTGTAGTTCTTTCTCAATGACCACAGTTTGTTCTTTTATGGTTAATGGACAAGAGAGTTGTTCCATGTGTTTGCAATTGTATAATGGTGATCAAGCATGGTGGAATATGTACACGTTTCTAGTACATGGGGGCATGCATGGAATCTACTGTATCAGGAAATGACAATTGGCTTTCTGAAAAGATGCTAATTTGCATACTCATCGTCAACCAAGGAGTTCCCATTGTTCCATGTCTTTTTCACTGTCTGGTACTGCCAGTCATCTTGATTTTAGTCATGTTGGTGGGTGGATAGTGCCACACCAATGTGGTTTTGGTTTATATTTCTCTAGTGACTAAAGAGAACAATGTCCCTCGATTTTCTTGCTGAGCAATAGAATCTTTTGTTTTCAAAGCTTGAGAACAATTTTGTTAGTTTTGCTTTAAAAACAAAACAAACAAAACCCCAGGGCAGGCAGGGTGTGACTCTCAGCAGATGCCAGGAGAGGCAGCCTGTAGAAGAGAAAGGGGAAAGCCCTGCCACGTGCGTGAAGCTAGCATGGAGGTCAGGCAGGCAGATCATGTGGCATAAAGGGAACTCTAGAAACAAATGGAAGTCCAAAATGTCAGGAAAAGCATGTTTAGAACAGGTAGAAAGGAAAAGAGGGAAGCTACGATATTCTGAGTAATTCAGAAAGGCAGGCTCACAAAGCTGCGTGTTTATGCCGTCCCTGATCTCCCCCTCTGTGGCTGCGCACAGCTACCTGGCTACTTCATTCCAGGGAGAGGCTCTGCCGAGACCTGCTGAGCACCACAGCTGTCCCTGCAGTGCGTGCAGAGCCAAGGCTGATGGACAGCAGTGTGGAGAGACCGAACCAGCCCAGCATGTCTTCCTTAGTCTTCGGGAGCTGTGGTTGTAGGTGTCAGGAAGACTGGGGTCCGGTTTTGCCGCACCCCTGAGAACAGGGATCAGAAGAGCCGAGCGTCTTCTCCATGAATAAGCCAGGTGTGTTTTCCTGCCTCCCCACACCATGCCTCAACCCCAGCACCACTCTTGGCTGTCCTAGGTGTGACTGTCCCCACCCAGGAGCTCCACACGCCACACCGTAAGATGAAGCCTGATGCTTCCCCGAGCCTGGCATCTTCTGCCTTCACCTGCCTTCAGTTTCTCTCTGGCGTCCCGCTCACAGCCTAGCCCTGCCCCGCCCCACCCTGGAGATCTAAGAGCAAGAGGCAACTACACTGGCACATAAGAAAGTGGGCGCCATCAGACACTTCCGGTATTTATTAAGAACTTACTGTGGACCAGGTCCCACCCTTTGCCCAGGACACACAGGTAAACAAAAGGGGGCCAGCCAACAGGGCTCACAGTTGGGGGAGTCCTCACATACACCAAACACATCCATTGGCAAATTGGCATCCATTTCAGTGACAGAAATCTGAGGCCACCAGGAAGAAGCAGTCAGGCTACCAGAGGGAAATGACCCTGCTGGGAGTTAGTGGAGAAAGAAGCTTGGGCAGGAAGTGCAGGGGGAAGACTCCCTCGTGATCCCTAGGCCATAAGTGATGCTGTGCCTAGTGGGGGCGGGGCATAGAACACGGGCCTTTCCTCAGGGAGCTTACAGTCTCAGAGGGGCAGCAAGGAGTAGGGCCCAGACTAGAAAGACTTGTCGTATCAAGAGTTTCCAGAAAAGAAAGGGTGGAGGACTTTGTGTTGGAAGGATTCATGGGGTCTGTAAGGACTGGATAAAAAAAAAAAAACGTGTAGAACGAATGGGAAGATTCAGGAGAACATTCCAGAAAGAAGCAGTAGTATAATGATAATCGAGGCTATATAGGGAAAAACAATATATTTATTTATCAGGGAGAGAGAGAGTCGCACATACCAGGAGTTAGAAGCTTGGCTGGCTTCCAGGAGAAAAAAGAGGAGGCCCCTTTTCCTTTCACTACCTTTTATCTCTACCTTGACCCCGCCCTGTTGGGCGGGTAGCTTTGTGGGGTTCACTCCTACACAGTAGAGTGGGGTGTACATTGTTTGTATAATAACAAGCTTACTGCTGACTGCAGGGTAAGCTCAGACACATGGATAAGGAGTGCTCAGAGTCTGGGGAGTGTGTGTCTGTCACAGTGAGGGTATGGAGGGACACTTTAGGTGCTGAGCCCCCCCCCACGTATTCCTGCTTAAAAAACAGCTGGACTAGTAGTCAACTGCACTCGAAGGAGTTGGAATGATAGGCTAGGGTTCTTGGGACGCACTTCTTTGGTTTAGAGTTTCTTAGTGCTTTTGCGGGAAAACACTGCTATATTCATAAACACACAAAATGACTAGAATGTGAAGTACACTTAAATCCTTTTTAGGTTTAAAAAAATACAAATTCGCCGGGCATTGGTGGCGCATGCCTTTAATCCCAGCACTCGAGAGGCAGAGGCAGGCGGATCTCTGTAAGTTCGAGACCAGCCTGGACTACCAAGCGAGTTCCAGGACAGCCTCCAAAGCTACAGAGAAACCCTGTCTCGAAAAACCAAAATAAAAATAAAAAAAAATACAAATTCAAAGAAATCTCTACAGTCCCCAGGGGCCTTTGAATTTGAGTCTTCTTCTGTGGTCATTAGGGCAATTAAAAAAAATATCGGAGAAGCCATGGCATTCCTGGTCAATGAGCATTTGCAGCGTATTTATGAGGTAGATATTGTTAGGCAGACAGGAGAGAACACTGCAGCCCAGCCATGGTATAACACGCTCAAGTTACACAGTTAAGAAACTGCAGGCACGCCTTTAATCCCAGCACTCGGGAGGCAGAGGCAGGCGGATGTCTGTGAGTTCAAGACCAGCCTGGTCTACAGAGTGAGTTCCAGGACAGCCTCCAAAACAATACAGAGAGAAACCCTGTCTCGAAAAAACAAAAGCAAAAACAAAACAAAAAAAAACCCAAAAACAAAAAAAAAAAAAAAAAGAAAAGAAAGAAACTGCATAGTCAGCAAGAAAACAGTGTGTGAAGTCCACATCTTCCTCACAGTTGTGTATCGGACACTACAGCTGTCATGCAGTTGTAGGAAGAAAGTGGCATGGCCAGGCTGGTGCTAAGTTGTGAAGGGCATGAGCGCCGGGTGACAACGCAGAAGATGGCTGTGACCCACAAAAAAGCTGGACCTGCTGCATCACATCAGGAAGCGAGTTCACCGCGGCCACAGCGATGCTGCCGCCGCCATCACTCAGACACTGGCCTCACTCCTACGGCCATTGAAGGCCCCGGCTCGCCTGTGCATGTTCTACAGTGTCAAGAACTCAGGACCACCCAGCAGCCTGTTCTTGAACTGAGCCGTACAGGAAGTGTGAAACCACTCCTGTAGGTGCGCTCACCATCCAGGAGGCTGGGAGGGAACAGTGTTATTGGGCCTGAAAGGAAACGGATGGTGAGTGGGACCCTCTAGAAGCTTTCTGGACCTATACTTTTCCATTTGGAGGTCAGTGACCTGAAAATCGAGAGATTGATGACGTTCTCATAGTCAGAAAACAACTTCTGTACATGCAATGGCATGTGCACGTACAATGTGGAAAGTTCTTTGTGGCTCTTGTGAAGGGCTCCTTCCACTAGGAAATGGTTGTTAAGGTTTGCAACTGAATGGTATTGTTTCTCTTCTCTCCATTTTCTTCCTTCAGTATGTGCCCGGAGAGTTTATTGAGAAACCAGCCAACGTCCTGGAGGTCCTCGGGCCACCTCAAGTACTGTTGCTTTTGCAGAAACCCTCTGATAGTCTCATGTCTCATCAGTTGATACTGGGACAGGGACCCCACCACCACCACGATGAGAACGCTCTTGAGGTCAGACAGGCCCCTGCTCTGGGCATACCGGAAGGCTTCCAGGCACCAGCCATCCTTGAGGAACTGTCTGCTCACCAGACACACGGTCTTCCTGCTGCTCCACACAGCTGCCTGGATGTTGGAGATGTGGTTCTCCCCAGGGATGAAGTCTCTTTCTTCAAAGCACAGCCTGAGTCTGTTGTGGGAACTGTACTGAGCATCCAGGTGTTTTAGCAGAGCATTCTGTGCCCATTCGAAGTCTTTGCTACTGAAGCAAAAGTAGGCATCGTATCTGTATGCGCTGGGTTCCGAACTCCGGACCTTGTCCCTGAGCACCAGCCTCTGAATGGTCTTGTAACACAGGAAACAGCCACCCCGGAACTTTGTGGCTATCAGGGTAGTGACGAGGATCAGGGTCAAGGTGACGGTGCACAGGAGGAAAAGGCAGAACTTTAGGGTCTGCGATGCTTCCTCTTCGTCACAGTCCTTGGTGGAGATGTCGTAGAGGGAGACCCCTAGCAGCGAGTCAGGGTACATGCAGTATACGTCTGTCGGAGAGCCCAGCAGGGTGACGTTGGTTTGGTTGAGCCAGATGATGAAAGGGCTAAGCTCGCATTGGCAGACGAACTCGTTGTGCCTTATGTCCAAGACGCTAAGTGAAGCAAATGACCCAGGATCCGGAGAGAAAAGCTGATTTCTAGATACATCAAGAATCTCTAAGTTAGCAGGTAAACTGCCGGGAGAGAGAGTGGTCAGCCTGTTAGCATTAAGACTGAGCAACCTTAACGAAACCAAGCCGCTAAATACTCCCGGCGGGAGGAAATTAAGGTAGTTGCTATTCAGATACAGGATTTGGAGGCGGGATAGGCCTCTAAAGACATCCCAACAGAGGCCAGTCTCCCAGGCAAGCTGCAGCATGTTTTCTGAAAGGAAAAGCTGTTCCAAGCTCAGGTTCTCTGAAGGCGCCTGGACTTCCCAGCAGGAAGAAAGACGGTTCTGATTCAGGATGAGAAACTGGAGCTGGGGAAGGCCCAGGAGGAAGTAGAGGTCGGACAGATTTTCCAGCCTGTTCTCAGACAACTGGATGAAGTTGACCATGAAGCGGATGTGTGGCAGATCCGCCAGCTTATTGCCGCCCAGGTAGACAGTCGGTATGCTTGGAATGAAATTAATGGTTTTAAGGGCGTTATCTCGGAGATCCAAGGTGTGCAAGTTTTTCAGGAATCTGAATGTTTGGTACTGAATGACCCCAATGTGGTTCTTTTGGAGGTCGATGTAGGCTACTTTGGGCAGCCCGTAGAAGTTGGAATTATAAAGTTCTCCCAGAAGATTACATGACACGTTGAGAACCTGGAGACTGTCAAGTCCATAAAACGCGTTATCTGCGATCTTGTTTATCTTGTTGGAAGCGAGGTTCAGAAGCTGCAAATCTTTCAGCGTTTCAAACACCCGGGAATTCAGGGAGAAGATATAACCGTGTGAAAGGTACAGGAATGTCACCGAACTTCTAGCCAGGCCAGCAAATGTGTTCTGGTCAGGGTCTTTGATGTTCTGGAAGCCAAAGCCAGACCCCATTATGTGATGCTTGAGAATCAAAGAGGAGACCTGGCTGTCCTGGATGATGTAGCTGAAGTTCCCTGTGATGTCCACTGTCCAGCCATTTGAAGAAAGATCCAGCATTTCCAGCCACATGCCTCTGAATGGGTTCCTGCATGTCTCCCAGGCCACAGAGACCCTGCTGAACAGGCTAGTTGATTTGAGGCCAAAGAAAGACAGCGTTTTGCCCTGCAGGGGCTTGAGTTCATCCTCACATAAAGTGAATATTTCATTGAAGGAAAAATCTATGGATTGTAAGGAGTTCAGTCCCTGGAATGAAGAATGGAGGTGAAGGCTGTGGATCTGGTTTCCGGACAGGTCTAAGCGAGCTAACGAACTTAGATTTCTGAAGTACCCATCTCTTAGCACAGCACTCGAGAGGCCACAGGAAAACAGGCGGAGTTCCAAGAGATGGGGCAGTCCCTGAAAAGCATCCGGACTCAAGACTTCAATCTGGTTTTGGCCCAGGTCCAAGATCCTAAGGTTGGGCAGGTTTCTGAAGGCCTCCTGGCCGATGGTCATGGGTACAAACTGGGTTCCCAGCTCCAGCAGCAGGAGCTGCTCCAGGAATGGAAATGATGTGGCGTTGACCATACTGATATAGTTGAAGCTGAGTAGGAGCCTCTCAGTGGTGTGGAGGACCCAGGGAATCTGGGTAAGGTTACAATTGCGAAGTAAGGCTATCTGGCCGTCAGAAGAACAGGGAGACAATCCCAGCATGGGGGTGGCCATGAAGATCACGCCTAAGAGAAGGTCAAGCCGATTCACCATGATCTGTGGAAAAAGAGAAGAGCAAAACCACATCAGAGCCTGGGGGTCTGCACGGGGTGGGGGGCCTCACCACTTGAGGGTTTCCCATGTGTTGCTCTCTTACAGACCTTTACTAAACGGACTCTGCAAACATTCTGCTTGGTGGGAACACTTGCTAGTGCGCAATTGACACACTGGGCACCAGTGCTCTAAAGACACTGCAGGCCAGGGAGGTAACTCAGTGGTAGAGCACGTGCCAAGCCCGTTCCAGGTTCTAGGTTTCCTCCCCAGCATCACAAAAACAGCAAACAACAACAACAAAACTGTTGCCTACTTAGTGTTTGTCCATTAGTTCCAGAGCTGCCGAAGGAAGTTGAAACTCACAAGGAAGAGATGCTTTTACTCCCGTTCATCCAGGGATTCCCCATTCCTAACCCCCAGAACCTCACTGGTGAACAGAAAATAAACATCGATTTCTCTACTCCACTCTAGCCAGACTCTAGCCCACCTCCAAGGACCTGAGCTGACTCCACACACTGTGCACATCATCGTATAGACACCTTATGCATCTTCACAAAGAATCAGATTTGATTGGCCTAATTAAGTGGGCTGTGTGCCCGCTGCGTGCCTGACACGCATGACTGCGTGAGCTAGAGCAATAAGCAGAGCCACACCCACCTGCTGAAGTTTGGTGCAGGGAGCTCACCATCCATCCGTGTGCTTCAGCAACAGAGGGCGTCTCACAGATGTGTCTGTCATGTATTCCCAGCATAGGTGCTGTGTGAGAACAGGAAAAAAATTAGCAAGGGTCTCAGGGAGCTTCATGTTTTCTGTGGTGGTCTGAATGAGAAGGGCCCCTATAGGCTCAGATATTTGAAGGTTTAGTCACCACAGAGTGGAACTCTTTGAAAGGATTAGGAGTAGGAGGACTATGTTGGAGGAAGTGTTATCACTGGGAGCGGGCTTTGAGGGTTCAAAGTTATATGGCAGGCCCGGCCAGTCTCTCTTTCTTGGCCTGTGGATCAGGATGTAGTTCTCAGCTACTCCTCCAGAACCATGTCTGCCATGCCTGTCACCATGTTCCCCACCATGGTGATAACTGGAACTGCAAGCGAGCCCCAATTAAACACTTCCTAAGAGTTGGCTGTGGTCATGGTGTCTCTTCACGGCAATGGAGCAGTAGCTGAGACATCTTCCATGTGCCGGCCTGCTCCATCTTTAGAGCACATCTCACTTGCTGCCAATGGCTCTTACCGAAAGCCTCCGTTGAAATGTCCTGTGTTCTAGAAAGTACTCCCCACAGGCCCAGGTGTTAAATAAAGGATTGCCATCCTGTGACATCACTGGGAGGTAGTCAAGCCTTTAGGGGGTGGGGCTTAGAGGGAGGAACTTAGGTCACTGAGGTGTGCCTTTAAAGGGACTCCAGCCTCTTGTGTCATCCTGTGAGCTGTCCATCTCTCTCCTCGCAGATTCCTATTTGCCCTGCCTAGACTTGCCATCACGCTGCTGCACCTGCCAACTTCAAGTGTGCGCTCACCATTTCTACGCAGAGTAGTTCCCCCATGGCCCTGGCCATCAGCAGATAGAAGGCTTGGCTGATATAGCAAGTCTACAGAGGGCAGACTAGAATCTACAAGTCGAGAGATGATGGAAGAGGCAACTGCTAAAATGGACCCTAAGACAAGCTCCATCTCTCCTGGCATGCAACCTCAAGACGGTGAGGCTGTAGAGGCTGTCGAATGCTGAACGGCCCATGAAAGAAGCAAGTCTTTTGAGTGGTACCCAAAGTGAAGACTCTGAAGATGTGCTTCAGTGGAGAAAAGAGATGGGCAAACCAGGCTTGGGACCCACATAGGAAAACACACAATGGTGGCCTCCAAAGCATGTCACAGTACAGCCTCATTGCCCACACCTGAAGATACCACAGTGCTTTACTGCACACAGTCAGACCGCTGGGCAGTAGACAGCCTGCTGTAGTGCTCCTCACATGTTAGTTTTTGTGATACATGCTATGTCTACGCAGTGCATGCAGGGGAGTGTAAGAATACGTACACCCATGTGTGTGCTCGCAGAGGCCAGGGAAGGATGCTGGGCATCTTCATGTATCGTGTTCTGCCTCACTGCCTTGGGACAGGGCCCTCACTGTTCTGACTTGGCTGGCTTTCATGGTCTCCTGTCCTTTAGCCCCTATCCCCGAGCATTGGAGCTACAGGCACATGACACTATGCATGCATAGCTTCTTCATGGACTTTGAGGTCTTCTGCTGAAAGTTTTGTGACCTTGTCCTCCACTGGCATCACAAACCTAATGCTGTACCCAGACTCAGAGCACGGCAGCCTCCTAGATTCCGACTGTTTGAAGATGATGCAGAGGGCCTTCAGTGTGCATCGGAACAACCACCATGGTTCATAGGTTGGGGGGAAGCAATGTCTGTAAAGGGTTTGATGGCAAAGGCTGTGCAGTTCAAACACAGACCACAGCTTCTGTTCTAGAAGAAAAGAGAACAGAAACTCTGACTCCTCGAATAAGGGTTTTTAAGCGACTCTAAGATAAACACAGTGTTGAGATACAAGAAGGTGCAGGAAAGAGCTGGTGTGGTCCCCAAGTCACCGATGGCTTTGCAGCTGTTATCTTACCCAAACATCAGGCTGATTTCTCATCTTATGAAACTGGAGGGAGACATTCCCCCGGAGACACAAGTGTGAGGATGCCAGCTTCGGGAAGCAAAGCTAAATTTCTTCCTTTTTAATTCTGACTTTTGATGGGATCAGTGTTGGTTTCCAGATAAAACCGCTGAACTAGATGACCTTGAATTTCTGGTAATGAGGGACAGCCCTAAGTAACATACATCTCACCATATTTCAATTTCCAAATCCACAAGAGAAGTTAAAATTAAAGTAAGGAAGGGGAAACCAGCTAACAAGTAGATTTTAAATGAAACTCTTTGGGCCCAAGTTCTAATTACAAAAATATCACAGAGACCCATGTCTTTAAAAGGTATAGAAGGATGGAGTAATTCCGTTTTTACCTCTGAAGCAGATCGCTGGTTAAAATGGATGGCAGGAGAGTTGAGCAGGGGATCCAGCAAGCAGTGAGATGAGGTGTTGGGAGAGACTCGTGCAGAGAGCCTGTGAGGGGAACCAGCAAGCTTTGGTTCTGAAATGGGAGCCAGAAGTGCAAATGTGTGGAAATAAAGATATCCAGCACCAACAAGGCAAACCTAACTAAAGATGAGCTCCAGACCGTCACGCTCTTCTAGACCCGACTTCAGAGTGATAGGAGTCCACTCAGCGAGCGGTGGTTAGTGGGGACAGAGCAGTGTATGAGGGCAAGCACCAGAGAAGAGCACGTGACTGAAGCCACGCCCCTGAGTGGAGAGCCCAGAGGGGAGCCACGTCCTGTACTTGGGTTGGGTGGAGAGCCCAAGGGAAGCATGAGAGCCATGACCTCTTGCTTCTCTCTAGGTTGAGGGGTTGGACCTTCAGGGAATTCCTTTAGCCCCTATCAGAGGAGTCTGCCATCTAGTGGTTGCCAAGAGTAGAGGGAGGAAAGGAAAAAAAGGCAGGCTAAACTTCAGGGCAATGTGTCCACGAATCATTACCCAGATGATGAAAAGAAACACACAAAGTGACTTCTGTAGTTAGGAGTCCCTGGTGGCATCTACATCCCTGTTCATAGAGGTAGAGCATGCGTTAGATCCTGGGTTCGGTCCTTCACCCACCATAAACACCCACTCAAGACAAGCCATTGCACTTCTGCTAGTTGTGGTGGTCCACGCCTGTAATCCTAGAACCCAGGAGACAGGAACAGAGAATGTAGAGTTCAAGGCTGGACTCCATAGCCAAACCTTATCTCAAACAAAAACACAAACAGTTGCAAAAATCGTACGCTCTGCTACCAGGATTTATAGGAAAAGTAGGGTAAGAGTAAAAGGCTCAAAGGAGTTATCATTAGTGCGTGTGCGCACGCACGTGTGCGCGCACGCACGCGCACACACACACACACACACACACACACACACGACAGGAACTGAATAAAAGTGCCATGTGGTGAGCCTAGTTAAATGAGCAAGAGGCCCAATAATACTTCAAGAGACATGGTGGCTTGACTTTGGAAAAGACCATGGTTTGCTGGAGGAAGTGGACACTGGGAGGGTTTCAGTCAGTAAATTATTATAAAATAGTGGGAAGAGGGGGTCTGTCTGGTATCAGGGGGAAAATCTGAACGCCAACTCTAGATGCCTGAGGCACAAAACACATGGAGAGCGGAGGCAGCTGACAGACACCAGGGTGTATTTTGTGTATCGTAGTTGGCTTAGTTCAGCTTGGTGCAGTTTTCTGTCTTTGTATATAAGAAATTGCACATGAGAAAAAAATGAACTATGCATTTCTAATACCGGGGGTTTTGGTTTTTGCTATCGATTGGACCCGTAGCCTTGGGCATGTTAGGCAAGAGCTTTTCCACTGAACTATATCCTCAGTCAAGTCCGCTAACACATCAGTAGTCTTCCCAAATCTATCAGTATCATTGCCTGATGTCAGTTTTCTGAGGAAACTGACACATTCTATAGCTGAACAGACAATACCAGCTCAATGATAGACAGAGGATTCTGGTTTTGTAAATAGTTTCGCCCCCTGCATGGAACCGTAGGATGGACTTGGGAATCAGCCCTGTAGACTCAGCTTAAGGGATAGAGGGGGACCACAGTTCTCTCTCCAGCCTCAGTGTCCTTAAGTTTCATTTAGAGACTGACCAAGACAAACAGTCCTCAATCTGGTTACTTACTAAATCACTGTAGAGTCTTGAGGACCTACGAAGTCTGGCCCTCACTAGGCCTATTCGGTGAGACACTTAACAGATTGTGACATTCTCAGAATCTGTATTCTTAATAGGTATGAAAAATTTATATACACTCAGGCCCGAATGTAATTGGGATAAATCAGTAATTGCTGAATTTGCCAGTCCCTTGAAATCACCTGGGGTCTGTGCCTGGGTCCCAGCAGAGAAAGGCTGGTTTTAGTTAACCTAGCAGGCATGTCAGACAGGCAGCCCATGGGTCCCATGCAGCCAAAGACAGCCAGGAATGCTGCCTGACACAAATAACAGATGAGATTTTTGCTCAGTTTATTTTCTTTGTAACTTGACTGCAAGGTTCTTGATACTATGTTGCAATGTTAATAGGCTGGACATCCCTGGGCTCCCGGAGTTGTTAGCTCTCAATAGATGATCCCGGGAGGGGACAGTTTGATCACCTGCTCTTCTGGCCACAACCTTGACTCCACCTCAACCATCCCAGTATAGAAACACCATAAAACATAGGATTCCTAATGACCCAGACTTTGCCCTGGGCAATCACACAAAAGCAGTGAATGCAAAGCCCCGTAAAGGAATTTATATGCCATGTTCTTAGCAGAGAGGTTCATAATTGCTGACATAAGAACGAACCAAGAAACAGCAAGGGTGAATACCCAGGATTGGGTGTACATGTAATGGAGTACAACTCAGTCTTGAGAAGGGATAGAAGTCCTTTTAAAGTTTAACGTAATATTATTGTTGTTGTTGTTGTTATGTGTATGCACGCAGAGGGCACGGAGCAAATTTATGATGTCACTTCTCTTCTACCTTTGAATGGGCTCTAGGGACAAAACTCAGGTAACTGCCGGGCCATCCTCCAGCCCAAGAGGAATAAAATTGGGATACATGCTACAACATGGATGGATTTTTTTGAGACAGCATTTTAAATTATTTTTATTTATTTATTTGTGCGTGTGTGTGTGTGTGTGTGTGTGTGTGTGTGTGTGTGTGTGTGTGCCCCTGGCTGTCCTGGAACTAGCTCTGTAGACCAGGCTGGCTTCGAACTCACAGAGATCCACCTGCCTCTGCCTCTCTAGTGCTAGAATTAAAGGTGTGTGCCACCACCTCCTGGCTATGGATGGATTTTGAAG